GCACCTTCGCTGTGGTGCCGATTCCTGCGGCTGGGTGCAGCCCATGGTGGCTTTGCTGCTTCCTGCCGCTGCTGTTCGTCCCCTTCCTCTTCCTCGCGGGGACCACCACCACCACCACCACCACGACCCCTCCCATCGTCACCCTGCCGCCTCGACCTCCGGATGTCGTGACCACGCCGCCGCCGAAGGAGTGTTGCATCGACATGTGCAATTGTGCCCGCGATGGGACGCAGTGCGACGATGATTGTGGCTCCGACAAGTGTACCGATTTCGACGACTGTGATGAGAAGGGCATCTGCATCACGGGCACTCCCGAATGCGAGAACCCCACGCCGGCGCCGCCGCCGCAGGGGCCCCAGAGGCACTGCAGGATTTTCGGTGACCCGCACGTGGTGACGTTTGACGGGCAGTCGGCAAGCTTCTACTCCCAGGGCGAGTACTGGACTGTGAAGAGCGACACCGTCTGGATGCAGGGCCGCTACATGCCGACACCAGTGACCAACGGCCTCTCGGTAATGAAGGAGATCGCGATCGGCGGCCCCTTCCTGGAGGGCAAGGACGGCACGAAGAACGTCCTCCGCATCTCCTCCCTTCGGGCGACCTTCAACGACATCCCCATCATCGCCGGCTTTCCGGACGCCTGGGAGAATCAGGATCCGATGATCAAGGTTGTCACCGACGGCAGCGGGCAGGTGATGCAGTCGAGCCGCAATGGCAAGGACCTGCACGTCGTGCACGTGGACTTGCCGCTCAACATCCACCTGGAGATCAACCGCTGGAACGAGCCAGGCGAGGGCGATTACATCAACACGATGATCACCATGAGCGCGCAGCCCAACCAGGACGGCCACTGTGGAAATTTCAACGGTGTGCTTGACGACGACACCAGGCCGGCGATCCGCGCCCGCATCGGCACCACCGGCGTCCCGCAAGCAGAACTTCTCTTCCACACCAAGACCCCCGTGACGCCCGCGAATCGGCCCGACCTCAACAACTGCGCGTCCGACAAGACTGAGAGGGCCAAGGAGCTTTGCACGAAGAAGTCCAAGACCGGCATTCCCAACAAAGATTGCATGATCGACGTGTGCTTCGGAGGAGAGCACTTCGCAGACATGACCGACTACGACGAGTGAGTGCCGTCGCTTAACGCCACCGGCCAGCCATGTTGTTCTGCCGCATCCCGTGAGGATATCGGATGACAGCCGTTACTGGCAGGAAGTAGTTCGGGGCAACGGTTCCAATCGTGTCTAGTTTTCCGCCTACCTTACCCGAGTTTGCTCCGGCACGTCTGGCGCTCTTGACAAAGATGCCTGAGCGCTGCTGAGCTGGAGTGCAATCGTAGGACGGGTCGGGCGCAATACCGATCGATGTTTGGCAAGCCACTTCGAGAAGGACGTGTCTGGGCATATCCACATCGTATGTGCATTTGTTCTGCGCGTTTGCGAGGCAGGAGGGGGCGGGGGAAGGCAAACAGCAAAGGAGCAGGAGGAGGAGGAGGAGGAGGAGGAGGAGGAGGAGGAGGAGAGGGACAAGGGGGCAGGAGAAGGAGCAGCAACATGAGAATTCTGGACGCCATTCAGAAACGATACCCAGGCGAGTTGCCCTGATCAGGGATGTGGAGGAGCATGCAGTGGAGTAAAGGGCTGGGTAAGACGTTATATCCTAAGAGGGAGAGGATGGAGGAGGAATCGGAGGGGGAGCAGGAGGAGGATGAGGAGGGAAGGGGGAGGAGGGAGGAGGAAGGAGGACGAATAGGCGGACGAGGAAGAGGAGGAGGAGGAGGAGAAGGAGGAGGAGGATGAGGGCGAGCAGAAAGGCGAGAGGCCTCGTGGAGGCCTCTTGGGATGTGTTGGAAGTCTCTTGGCAGTCCCGGGGGCATCTTGAAGCGTCTTGGGTGCCTCTTGGTGTCTCCTTGGGGCCTCTTGGGAGCCTCTTGGGGGCATCTCGGGAACATCTTGGGGGCCTCTTGGGGTCTGTTCGGCGCATCTTGTGGTAGCTTTGGGGCCCCCTAATAAGCCTCGGGGGCCCCCTTGGAAGCCTGGAGGAGGCCGATCAAAGCATCGGCCGTGGTGAATTAGCACCCGGGCCCCATGAGGCCAAACTGTCGCCAGAACCTAAGTACAATCAACGAGTTTGACCTTCTCGCCGAGGCTTTTTTGAACGCTCTGACACCTCGCGGGGCGCTCCGTCCAGGTCCAGGGGGAAGGAGGTATTGGGGGAACCCCTCCCCGAAAGGGAAGAAGGAGGTTGGAAGTGGAGACGCTGTAAAACACTCACGCCCTAAATGGCTGGTGGGATTCTTGACGCTCTGCGTATCCCCATTTGCTTCTGGTGCTGCACGTCGCCCGGAAGGACTTCATGGTGCGCGCCCTCTTGTGAGCGGCAGCGAGGTTCGCCTCCTGTTTGCCTCCCTCCTCGCTTGGTCCTGTCTCTTTTCAACTTCCTCTTCCTTTGCGCTGGTGCAGGCCGTTGCCCCTGTGCTTCGCTCCTGGACGCCGCCCGACCTTTTCGGCGCGGTCGCGATCAACAAATCCGCACCCGCTCTGCTGGAAACGATGCCCAGGGGAGCTGTCTAGAGGAGACGCGTAGTTCAGCAGATGGTGCATTAGGGCTGTCAACAATGGTACAACTTAGACGTATCGTGGGCCCTCGTTGAGCCGTCTTGGGGCCATAGTCGAAGCTTTTGGGCTCTCTGGGGGCCCTCGTGGGGCTCTCTTTGGGCCCTCTTGCGGGCCTTGGGGTTCTCTTGGAGTCATCTTGGAGGCCATCGATGAAAGAAATGGAGGTTCTTAATGTCGGTCCCCCCGTCGGTGCCCTCAAAATCACCTCTTGGGGCGCTTTTGGTCGTTTTGGACCCCAGAGCCGTCGTGAGTCGTGGGACATATTAAAGCTGAGACCTCAAGGGCCCATCGGAGACGCAAGTGCGAAAAGCACGACATTATTGTTTTTCCATAGATTTTGAACGGGTTTGGGCCTCTCACCATTGTGGCCCCGAAAGTTTGACACTAGTTGCGTATGGCTGCGTATAGGGTGGGTATCCACGGAGTGATTTCAGGTGTCAGCGCCGCGGCAATGTACACCGGACGATGATGTTGCCACGCTCGTCCCAGAAAAGTGCGGAGGAGAGTGGGGACCAGGGAACAATCAGGCGGGGGTGGGGCGAATAAGGAGGCGTGCGTGGAACGAGGCGGAACATTGTCGGGCGGGATACGGATGAAGTGGAGGATAGTAGTGATTTAATGATAATGATCATGATCACGATGTGGACTTGTGATGATGAGCATCAAGGGCTGAAAACAGGAGGAGGAGGACGATGGTGATCATGGGTGGTGATAGCTGGGCGTAGGCGTGGCCGGGATGCCGAGTGCGGATTCCAAAGAGGGCCCGTCCCGGGACAGGAAGGCTTGGTCGGGTGGGATCGGGCCAGGGCTGGGCCGGGTCGGTTCTATGACGGTTGCTCACAACCAGCCAGTGCCGGGAGGGCGAATTGGGGTCATCAGAGGAGGGCGATTTGAGACAAGTGTAGTTGGTCTTCGCAGGGGCCCCTCGTCGCCAACGCTGGGGATGTGTATGCAGCCCGGAAAATTTGTGCGCTTGGTTCTTGGGAGGTGTCAAGTGTCGCTCAAGACCCGAAGATGGGACCCTCCGGGGCCCTGTGATATCTCCTTTGGGCCTTCCAGCCCCACGACTAGGCCCACCGAGCCTCTCACGAGAAAGCTTGATCGTTTTCCCACGCACTCCCCCAGGCGCGATCCTCAAGCAAGCTTGTGCCCAAACGGCAGCAGAGCAGAGGCAAAGACACGTGAAGATCAGTCGGATCAACACTCCCGAAATTTAATGTTGCCTCTGCTCACGATGTCGGGCGACATGTCCTCGATCCCTTCCTAAGCTAGCAGTCATCGGCCCTGCGGCTGCGGCTGCGAACGGATGGTCCCGAGCCCCGGGACGGTGGTGACGCAGTCGGCTGACACCAGCTGCCCATGGACTGGTCGTCGTCTGCAGAGCTCTCGACAATCGTGATCTTCGGAGCAGGGTCGAACAGGTCCTGCCAGTTCTTTGGGCGGTCATTGTCGAGCATCTCGGCCTGCAGACCACACTCCTCCACCAGGTAGCGGAGCATCTTGTCGCGCCACAACGGAAAATTCGCCAGGCTCTCGCAAACACAGAGTCCGATATCCCCGATCCCGTTGTGGAAGTCGGTCTCCTTGGGCAGGCGCAGGGTGCGCACTGGCTGGTCGACGCCAGTCCGACCCGACGCCTGACCGCCTGAGCCCTGGGTCTTGGAGCCCTCCGCGTTGGACGTGAACTGGTCCCAGGCCGGGAGGCGGAACGAGTTCACCACGAGCGAATTTCCCTCCGGAGCCGGCGGCAGTTGGTCCTGGGCCAGCGCCATCTGGTACAGGCTCTCCAGCACCTTCACACGGTCAAAGATACGGTCCTCGATGGCCGCCGGTGTGTGGATCGTGATGTTCCCCATTCTCGCGTAGTATGTCATGGTCATCTGAGCCCTGGCCTCCTTGCCCGTCAGCCGGTCGTCCAAGCATTCGGCGCGCACCTGGACCTTGAGGCGGTTGCTGGAGCCCTCGATGGTCCCCTCTGCCGCTTCGGCGATGCTCTCCATGAAGCTCCGGACCTCCTTCGGGTTGTTCTCCGCCTCGACCTTGATCATCAGGTTGGGTTGTGGCTGGCTGCGTTTGGTGAGCTGCTTCCGTAGAGAGCATTCGGCAGAGGTTTGAGCCAGAACGCTGCTCTCGTCGGACAACTGATTGAGCCCACTCCGAATACTGCCTTATCTTTTGTGAGACAGTTGGCAAGCATAAGCGAAGTCGGACCCCATCTCAACGTGGCGCTCATCCTTCTCAGGCTCTCTTTTCTGATAGCTATGTCCACGGCACAGCGCTTATCATCAATACCGGATGGACTTCCCATCTTGATCACATTGTCGTATATATTCTTACAGTGGATCACTGCCAGGCTCTGGAACTTTCCGAGGAACCTAGACCTGTCTCCGAGAGAGAAGCCTCTGAAGAACCCAATCGCGAAGAAACACATGGCCCACTCCAAATGCCCGAGACCGTCCGTCATGACCGAAGACTCCCCAGCCAGAGTAGACTTCACCACCCTCTTCACCCGATAGCTCCTCCAGATCATCGGACTCCACGGCGCCACTAGACCCTTCTCCATGTCCCGATTCGTGACCCCGATGACGTAGCCCCCCCTGGGTGTGCCCCATGCTAGACACCTCCTTCGACAAGTAGTCCGAGTGGAGAACGAAAGTGAGCTCTTCGACGGGTATCGATGGATAGCGGATTTCGAGATCGGCGAATTGCTGGGCCCGTCGGGCCAACATGTTTCCTCTCCGAAGGTCACCTACCGCAGGACTCGGCATCTTCTGTTGATTCGAACTCACGAGCATGCTGAGATCAGGACGAGTCTGAGCGGCAAGCCAATTACCACGCTGGTTGAGAGAGATGAAGTCTTTTACCTCTGACGGTATGGCGAGGGCATCTGCGCCAGCGTGCCGGCGTGTCGGCACTCGCTCCATCTCCTCACTGGCGTACTGGCGCTGAGACTGCACGATGTTGTAGTCGGAGAGCTGCTGCAGCTTCGAGCCGACGAACTCGCCCTCCTGGTCGTTCCACTTCCGGTATGGAAACTTCGCCTTCGGCTTGGCGATGGCTTGAACCCACTTCGCGCCTCTTCCGCCGAAAACCCCGTCGTCGACGTGCTGGCCGGTGACTCCACAGGTCGCCCTGGCGTGCTTCACGACGTGGTTCCAGACCCGAGTCTTCGATCACGCGGTAGTCGTCCAAGTCGAAGTCCACGGTCTCTCCGATGTCTTCGAAGAACATCATGACGCATGGGTCAAGTGGGCGTTGCATGAAGCCCAGCTCCTCGGTGAGGTACTTGCTAAAGGTCAGCCACCAGAGCTGCGTTTTGTCACTGCGCCCGTAGCTGTTGATCACCTCGCACAGCTGGTCCTCATGCGCGCCCTCGGGAAGGAAGTATGACGGCAAGGACACGTAGATTGTCCCGTGCTCGGCGGGAGAGAGAGAGAAGCATCCGTCTCCAAGAAGGCACCCTCTACGTCACCGATGGCCATCGGAAACTTCGCGGAGGCGATGGTCTGCAGCACGAGTTCTCGGCCGTTGGACGACTGCGTCGGTGCCTGAGTCCTCCGGGCCCTCACCAGCTCCAGCAGATCCGGGTCCTTGAAGCCCTGGATGGTCATGCGGCACTTGACCTCGTCCTCCCGCTCCGTCAGCGCTGGCCGGGGCTTCAGGATGCGCTCCGCCTTTGTCGATCGCAGCCGGCGCGACTCCTCCAGCGAGAGCGGACGCCACGCCTTGGTTTTGTTGATCAGCTTGTCGTACTCCTTGGCGTACCCCTTGGCGATTTTCTCGAGCCCCATCTTGGTCGTCCACTTCGGATCCTTTCGATTCAGCTCCTTGCGGCCCCGCGCCAGCAGGACCTCCTCTTGGTCCAATGCCAAGATCTCGTCGTCGTCCTCGCTGTCCTCGGCCGCCGTCACCGCCAAGGCTAACTGCACCTTCGACTGCTTGACCCGATCCGAAGCTGATGGGGAAGGACCGCGCTTCACGCCCTGCCCGTGCACGCGGGCGCGCTTCACCTCCTCGGGGGAGGTCTTCCCAGCGAGTCGTCTATGCGGTCTGACGCTGTCCGCCTCTTCTGCATGTCCTCCAGGTTCCCCGACATCGTGGTCACTGGCCTCGGCCTCTCCTTCAGCAGCTGGCTCCTGCAGCAGGTCCTCCTCGTCTTCCTCGGGGAACGGCACCTCAGAGGGGTCGACGGGCTGCAGCACCACACGTGGTTCGGGGCCTGGACCATTTGCCGGACCTCCATGATGTGGGGAGGACTCCTCCCTCACTGGCTCCTGAGTCTGCTCGGCCTCCTCCTCAGCCTCCTCCGGCGGGCGCTCCTCGGCAGTGATGTCGTGGTAGTACTGCGCCTTCACGCTGTCCAGGTCGATGGAGTGCGACCGCAGCGAACCCTCGCCGAGCCGCCACGCCGCGCGCTCCTCGGAGTTGGCCAGCCTCAACTGCTCCGGCGACGCCTTCAGAACGCATCCCGGCACGGCGACCCAGTAGTTGCCACGCACCGCACCCATGCACACGCCTGGCATCCACTTGTAGTGAGCCCTGCGATTCTGCAGACCGCCGCCGCCGCCCTTCGTAACCTTCCTCCAGACGGCAACCGCGCCGCGGCCTCGCGTCCAGGGCCGCTCGGGTGGCGCGCTGGTCGTTGTAGCTCAACACCTGGCGCCCAGCGATGGCTCGAACTCGAGCACGAAGATGGTCGGCGGATCATGCAGCACCGCACTGTTCGCTCACGCCGCCGACGCTCAAGAGGGAGTTTTTCGCCTCCTGAACCTGGGCCACGCACTCCCGCCACTCTCCGCGGTCCTGCGGCTGGACCTCCGCGATCACGGCGCGCAACATCTGGGCGAACCACTGGCCGTGCCGCTCCACCTTCTCGTTCTGCTCCTTGGCGCCTCCGGCCGTGTCCAGGATGGTGGTGCCGTCCCGCTCCATGGCGCTGGTGAACACCTGGGAGATGTGGGGCTTTGCCGGATCCAGTCGAAGCCACTTCGGTCGCATGTAGGGTCTCGTCCAGTTGTCGCGGTACATTCGGAGCAAGTCACTCGCCACCTCCTCGTCGTCCTCATTCAATGGCGTCATGGACTGCAGCGACGACGTGTCACAGACAATGTTCAGCGCCTTGATTGTCTGGTGTGGCAGCCACCCTGGAAGCTCCTTCACGTCCATGCCGATGGACCGAAGGGGTGGCTGCGCGATGTCAGGAGCGGCCGGTCGAACTGGCTTCGGTTCAGCCTTCGCCTCGCATTTATCGCACCTGAACTCCGACGCCATCTTCAGAGTCTCCTCGGTCGCGTTGGCATGCCTAAGATGCCTCAGCATGGTCGGGACCGTGGGCGTGACCGAGGTTGACATGCAAACGTCGCAGATTGGCCTCGACGCTCTGGGGCCGACCGTGGAGAAGGGGTTCCCTGGGAGCCTCCTTCTCCTCCTGGTCCGCCGTGCCCATCACCCCTGACACCTTCATCACCTCCTGCACGTACGACCCACTAGCACCACGAACGAGGGCCTTCACGAGCTGGTCCGGGTAGATCTGGGACCACACCGACCGCTTGACGCCCGCCGCACTGTCGATGACCTCCTGATGCTCGTGACCCCCGAGGTACTCGCGATCCACCGCCTTCGCTACCTCGGGCATGTCCGACATGAAGCGCCAACGCTTGGCCAGAGGCAATCCTGACGCCAGATCGCCCTTGCCGAACCTACATGCCGCAGCTTCCGCCAAGAAGTGGACCATCTCCGGCAACCCCGATGCTGAACTTGCCCTGGACTGCTCGAAAATGTAATGTCTGCCCCGCATTACCTGCCACGTCGCAATCTCCAAGCACAACACGATGAACGAGATGGCCTCCGCCTGCTCCTCCTTGAACTTCTCTGGGCGCCTCCGCTTCTCATCTGGCGTGAGCCCTTGAAGCGGCGACAACTTCCCACAGGGCGGCGTCAGCACGACAACGAACGGGTCCTTCTCCTCCAGGTCGCGGAACAGCTGCTCCACGTGCTCGCGCTGGCGAGCGTCCCAGCCCGTCTCCAGGTCGTAGGCGCCGACGTCCACGAACCCGAATTCAGCTGCCCTCGTGGTCAGCCTCGGCGGAGAGAAGACCTCCATGATGACTGTCACTTCCTCCCCAACTGCCTGGGCGACTGCCAAGGTAGCGGCTGAAGTCGCAGGGGCTTGAGGGCAGCGGCCCGGCCCTATTGAAAATCCCGATCCACGAGTGGAATCACCGTCGAGCCGTCGAGGGGAACCTCGTAGTGGCCACCCTTCGTCGTCTGCAACTGCACCCGAGCCCCCAGAGTCGTGATGATGAGCTGATCGTTCTCCGTGTCGAGCAGGCATCCCATCTTCTTCAGAAGCGGCTTGCTCAACAAAAGCCCAGCGCCTCCTGGAACCACGTACACCTCGATGGGCTCCACGTGCTCGCCGATGGTCCACGGGATGGTGCAGATCCCGATGGAGTGCTGCTCCTCACCGCTGAACCCCTTGAAAGTCACCGCCCGGTGGTCCTTCACGAGCTCCAGCGGCAGACCTGTCGTCATCCGGTGCTTCTCCAGTGTCTCCTCACCGATCAGCGCGCGCGCAGCCTGGGTCGATGATGCCCGATCCCGGCGAGTGCACCAGGAGCGTCTCCAGCTGCTCGTCATCGTCCTCGATCTCCTCCCTGAGGCGCTTGAAGTGGTCCTCCGTCTGGTGCTCGTGCAGCCTCCGGTAGTCCCAGGCCGCCAAGATGTCCTCTATTTCCTCCCACGCGTCTGCCTTGGCCTCCTCATCTGCGGCGTAGAAGCTCTCGACGAAGTGGGTCCCGAACCTCTGGCCGGGTGGTCCACGCGGTCTGGCGTCCTCCATGCCAGCTCCCTTGGGCTTCCTGGGGCACTCCTCACTGAAGTGACCCACTTGACGGCAGGCCCAGCACCGGACACGCGACGAGAATTTCTTCACGTCTGGTGCCAGAGGTGGTGGGAGGCCGCGCTTCTTGCGCTCCTCAGCGACGGCAGCGCGCGTCTCCTTCCAGGTCGCCAGCACCTGGATGGATGGCCTCGTCCTCCTCCAGCGGCTCCGCCCGGTCCTTCTCGACTTCCGCCAGGAAGATCGGGCCGGGCGAAAGGGGGGGATTGGGAAAGGGGGGGTTACGAAATTTGCTGCATGCAGCTGGTTTCGGCCTCACCGAGGGGCCCGTTCCTCGATACATGGGCGCCTCCCGGCGCCGGGAGGCGCCGGGAAAATCAGCTACGTGAGCTGATTCTCAACCCCCCCCTTTGCTATCCCCCTCTTTCGCCCGACCCGAGAAGACGTCCACCTCCTCGGCGCTGTTGAGCTCCTCGACGACCTCTCCCCAGGCGGGGCCCTCCTCGACCACGTGCACGCCGTGCTCCGGGGCAGCATCCTCGGGTGGACCGTCTTCAGCGCCCTGCGCCAGCTTGTCGAACGTCCACTGGCGCTCGCTGGCCGCCAGGACTCAGGAGCGAAAGAAGGACGTACACGTACATGAATCCACGCTGGTTTCGAGAGTATGTGTTGCGCAACTATTCGTATAACGCGGCCAGTCTTGCAGATCGAGGGACCGTGTTCATGTACATAGCTGGGCGCGTACGTCCTTTGTGGGCTCCCTAAGGACCACCGCGCGACGATCACCACCGAGAAGAGCCCCTCGCAGAAGGAGGAAGCCCTGGGCGACGTCGGGGATCTCGACGCCCTCCTTCGCCGGCCCGGTCGGCCGCCTCCCGCTCGGTGCAGCGCGAGTCCAGCACCTCGAAGAGCCTCTCCTCTCCGTCCTCGACGGCCAGCTCCTCCAGCTCCACGTGCTCCAGCGCGTCCACGGCGGTGCCCTCCAGGAGGGTGTAGAGCATGGGGCCCTATGTCTCGGGCTTCCCGCCGCGCCCCTTCTCGACCAGGAGCCGTGCTCTCGCCCACTTCTTCCAAGCCTTGTAGTCCTGCACTGCGGTGGCGCCTTCTCCAGAGAATTTGCGGTCCCTCATGCCGCCGCCGCCGCCTCCGTGGTCAGACATGGCTGTGCTCCGTGAGCTGGTGGCTCAAGCTTGTGTCAATCCTAGGGTCGCTCAAGACCCGAAGATGGGACCCTCCGGGGCCCTGAGATATCTCCTCTCGGCCTTCCAGCCCCACGACTAGGCCCCCCGGGCCTCTCACGAGAAAGCTTGCTCGTCTTCCCACGCACTTCCCCAGGCGCGATCCTCAAGCAAGCTTCTGCCCAAACGGCAGCAGAGCAGAGGCAACGACACGTGAAGATCAGTCGGATCAGCAGGAGGGGTCCGGGGACCAATCTTGAGTTGCCGTTGTCTCAACTCGCCCTTCTCCGAGTTCAGGGCCAGGCTGGGACAGCGCTGGGCTGTGGAGCGGTCTCTGGGGCTGCGCTGGGTCGCTAGGATGGCGCTGTCAACACCTTTCTTGGGCAAGTCGTTTTTTTGGCGGTGGGAATTCGCGTTCGAGCGAACGGTTTGGGGGCCGTCCTGTGGTGCAGCACGTTCATTCTGGAGGTCTGCTTGCTTCGATCGTAGATCGCAGAAACGCTCGCTCGCGTTGGATTGACATTGTATCAGATATCAGCGAATAGCGCCCAGTAGCCGCCCTTAGTGCCAAATAGGGACCACTAGCGCCCAGTTGCATTCAAATGCCGCCACAAATCCGACACATAGCGCGCAGCAGCTCTGTGCGAGGACTTTGCGAGAGATCGATCACGCTATTGAGCGCCATAGAGACGACCACGAGGTTCCGTGAGCTGCTTTCTAACCATACGGGATAGACGTTAAGCATGTATGTCCATTTTGGCAATTTGCATGAGAAGAGAGAGAGAGAGAGAGGGAGAGAGAGAGAGAGACAGAGAGACAGACAGACAGACAGACAGACAGACAGACAGACAGACAGACAGACAGACAGACAGACAGACAGACAGAGACAGAGACAGAGACAGACAGACAGACAGACAGACAGACAGACAGACAGACAGACAGAGCGAGAGGGAGAGAAAGGAAAAACAACAAGAGAAAGAGAAAGACGGATAGAGAAAGAGAGAGAGAGAGAGACCGTGTCAGAGTGATGAGGGAGTTGGAGGGAGACGACGACGGGCAGACGGACGAACAGGAAAGTGATTACGGCGACGACGAGTGCGAGGAACGCAATATGACGGTGAGGACAGGAGGAGGAAGAGGAGGAGGAGGAGGAGGAGGAGGAGGAGGAGGAGGAGGGGTAGGGGGGAAGGATGCAAGGAGGAGGAAAAGTAGGAGGAGAAAGGAACAACATGGAGGCCAGGGCTGAGGGCGAGGAGGACGAGACGCAGCAGGATGAAGAACGGCATCCGAAGGAGGAGGGGGGGAAGGTGCAGAGGCAGAGGTGGACGAGGAGTCGGAGGTGCAGGAGAAGGAGGAGGAAGGGCAGGTGAACGAGGGAGGAGGAGGAGGAGGAGGAGGAGGAGGAGGAGGAGGAGGAGGAGGAGGAGGAGGAGGAGGAGGAGGAGGAGGAGGAGGAGGAGGAGGACGACGACTGTGGCGATGACGACGGATGGCGGCGGCTGCGGCGGCTGGCAGACGACGGGCGGCGGCGGCGGCGGCCAAGGGACACGGTCGACGACGACGCCGATGACGCCGGCGACTGCGTCGATGACGAACGACGTGGGTGCCGTGGGAGGATCCCGGGTCGCCTCTCCAGAAATCAAGAAGTTGTCGCAGGAGCCGCCCGTGCGCCCGCGGATGGGGCGAGGAGTCGAAGAGGAGCAGGCTCGAGAGGGTGAGGGTCCTTCCTCGTCTCTGCCCCCACGCGGACCCCTCTAGGGGGGGGGGTAGGCGCAGCCGCGTCGCGTCGGCGGGTGTCTCGCTCCCACTCTTCTGGTGGTGGGGGTTGTCCGTCCGCGGCGGGGCGCGACTGAGCGCGCGCGGGCAGGAACCTCGCACCAGGAAGCTGCCTCGCATCGGTGGGATCCCTGAGGCATGCAAGGGCACCCAGGATTCCCCAGGGAGTTCGGTAGGATTCAGGGTTCCAGCAACTTAGGATTGCTTCGGGAGCCCTTCGGTTCTCAGGAACAGCTCTGACCTTGTCAAGACGTCGTCGTCGTCGTCCTCCTCCTCGTCCTCCTCCTCCTCCTCCTCTTACTCCTCTTTATGATCCTCCTCATCCCCCTCCTGGCCCGCTTTGGAGATCAACGTGTTCCTTACCCTCTCTCCTCCTCCTGCCTCCTCCTCCTCCCTCCTCCCTTCCCCTGCCTCTTCCTCCTTTCTCCTCCTCCTCCTCCTCCCTCCTCCCTTCCCCTGCCTCTTTCTTCCCCTGTCCCCTCCTCCTGCCTCCTCCTGCCTCCTCCGCCTCCCTCCTCCTCCTCTTCCTGCTCGTCCTCTTGCTCCTCTTCCTCCTCCTCCTCGTCCTCCTTCCTCCCTTTTCCTGCCTCCTCCTCCTGCCTCCTCCTCCTCCTCCTCCTCCTCCTCCTCCCTCCTCCCTCCTCCCTTCTCCTTCCTCCTCCTCCTACCTTCTCCTCCCTTCTCCTCCTCTCTCCTCCCTTCCCCTGCCTTCTCTTCCTCCTCTCCTCCTACTCCCTCCTCCCGTCCCCTGCCTCCTCCTCCTCCTGCCTCCCCTTCCCTTCTCCTCCCTCCTCTATTCCCCTGCCTCTCCCTCCTCCCTCCTCATCCCTCCTCCTCCCTCCTCCCGTTCATTGCGTTCTCTTCCTGTCTCTTCCTCCCTCCTCCTCCTTCCTCCCTTACCCTGGCTCCTCCTCCTCCTGCCTCCTCCTCCTCCTTCGCCTCCCTCCTTCTCCCTCCTCCCTTCCCCTTGTCTCCTCCTCCTCCTGCCTCCTCCTCCTTACCGTCCTCCTCCTTTCCTCCTCCTCCTCCTCCTTCCTCCTACTTTCCCCTGCCTCCTCCGCCTGCCTTCTCGTCATCCCTCCTCCTCGTCCTCCTTTTCCCTCCTCCCTTCCCCTGCCTCCTCATCCTGCCTCCTCCCTCCTCCTCCCTTCCCCTGCCCCCTTCCTCCTGCCTCCTCCTCCTGCCTCCTCTTCCTCTCTCCTCCCTTCCCCTGCCTCTTCATACTGCCTCCTCTTCCCTACCCCTCTTTCCCTGCCTCCTCCGCCTGCCTTCTCGTCATCCCTCCTCCTCGTCCTCCTTTTCCCTCCTCCCTTCCCCTGCCTCCTCATCCTGCCTCCTCCCTCCTCCTCCCTTCCCCTGCCCCCTTCCTCCTGCCTCCTCCTCCTGCCTCCTCTTCCTCTCTCCTCCCTTCCCCTGCCTCTTCATACTGCCTCCTCTTCCCTACCCCTCTTTCCCTGACTCCTCCTCCTCCTGCCTCCTCCTCCTGCCTCCTCCTCTTCCTCCTCCTCCTCCTCCTCCTCCTCCTCCTCCTCCTCCTCCTCCTCCTCCCCCTCATCCTCCATCCTCCCTTCCCCTGCCTCTTCCTCTTGCCTCCCCCTCACTCCTCCTCCCTCCTCGTTTCTCCTGCCTCATCCTTCTTATCCTCCTGCTCCTCCTGCCTCCTCCGTCCGTAGCCATGTTGGCTCAAATCCGGAGGCATTGCTCAAGGATCTGAGAGTGTGGCGTGGGGATTGTCGGCCCCGACAGCGAGCGCTTTTGCGCATGATCCACATAGTTTGCTCAATTCCTCCCACGATTTGCGTATTACGGCACGTCCATGGCACATCTGGAGGCTAGACTCCCATGGCGGTCGCAGTATCGAGAGTGGCGCACGCCAGAGGTGTGGGACGACAAAGGATGGAATACGGTGCAGTCTAAAGGCCAAGGTCCAAAGTGCTTTAGGTGCGGGTGCAAACAGAAATCGAAAGGAAATGTGTTCTGCAAGGCATGTGGGCACAAGCTCTCCCACGTGTTAAGCTCTGTTCCCCCCGAGCCCGCTGGTGTCTGGCCAGGTAAGGCTGCCGCAGCAAACGGTGACTCTAAGAATGGCGGGAAGGGTCAAGGCAAAGGGATGGCTGCGCTGCATGGGCTTCCTCGTCCTCCTGGTTCTCAGTTCACGGTGCCTGGCGGCTCCGCCGCAACCGACAAATTTGGTTTCAAAGAACCCCGGCAGCTGGCCGACATGCCCGAGCGGGCAGGGGATAATGCAGGGGCCCCGCGGCACAAGCGTGCGCTGCAGGAGCGTGTGCGAGAGGAGGCCGCGGCCGCCTATGTGCCACCGCTATCGCAGAGGGTCACGACTTCTCACAAGAAGAATTTGGATTGACAGGCGAAGTTGGCTCAAGCTTTGGATCGGTTCTACTCCCCCTCAGCAGCGGCTCGATGCCTGGCGGCTCTGGGTGACCGAGGTTGCGCGCAGCACGGAGGCAGCTGAAGAAGGGCATCGGGAGTTGGCACAGCAGCTCAATGCGTCGGTCGTGGTGGACAGAGCCGCTGAGTCACCTGCGCCGGTCCAAGTCTCCCGCTGTTTGGACGGCTCATGCGT